GTCGCCGCCGCTAGCAGCGCCGCCCGGTGGCGGTCCTCGACGCTGGACAGCGACAGGTAGGACGGCAGCGGCATCGTCGGCGGCGCCCTCTGGCGGTCGTCGGCGCCGAACGACGCCGTCCGCTGATGCTCGCTTGTCATCGTCGTATACCTCGCGTCGGGCGCCGCCACTTGGGGTCTCTGCCTGTCGTCGTTGCCGAACGACGGCGTGCGTGAGTGTTCGCTTGTCGCGGCGGGGGGCGCGAACACCGACGCCGCGCGCTGATCGCCCGTGTTGTAGGGGGCGCCGCCGTGGTCGCCCGCCGCCGCCGCCGCCGACGTCGTCACGGACGGCATCGAGTAGCGAATCTCGGCGAGCGACATCGGCGCCCTCTGGTGTTCGTCGGCCTTCGTGAACGAACCCGTCCGGTGGTGGACGGCCGCCGCCGCGTAGCCCGCCGCCAGGGGGCGCTGCCGGCCGTCGGCCGTCGTGAACGACGACGCCCTCTGGTGCTCGCCGCCGCCCGACTTTGGCGCCCTCTGTTGTCGCTCGTCGGACAACGAACGCTGATGACGCTCGGGCGATGCTACCGTCGCTGCCGCCACGCCGTATCTCTCCGAGACCGGTGCTGCCGCCGGTGGCCAGATTCGCTCGTCCGCCGGCAGCTGGGCGACGACGTAGCGGCCGTCCGCGTGCAGCGCCGCATGGTGGCCGTCTTCCGAAGCTGCCGTCGGGATGCTCTGATGTCGGCCGCCATCCTGAGTAAGTCGGCCGTCCGCCATCATGGAGGTCACAGAGAGGTCAATCGGAATGGAGGAAGGGACCTGTCGGTGTCGTTCGCTGTCCCGCCGTTCCAATCCGTGATGTTCCACCAGGTGGCGCCCGCTGTCGTGTCTCTCCACTAGGTGGCGCCCACTGTCATGTCTCTCCACCAGGTGGCGCCCACTGTCCTGTCTCTCCACATGGTGGCGCTCACTGCCATGGCGTTCTAAATGCTGGCGCCCACTGTCGTGTCTCTCCAATAGGTGGCGCTCACTGTCGTGTCTCTCCACATGGTGGCGCTCACTGCCATGGCGTTCTAAGCGCTGGCGCTCACTGTCGTGTCTCTCCACACGATGGCGATCACTGTTATGTCTCTCCACTAGGTGGCGCTCACTGTCGTGTCTCTCCACACGGTGGCGCTCACTGTCGTGTCTCTCCACATGGTGGCGCTCACTGCCATGGCGTTCCAAATGCTGGCGCCCACTGTCGTGTCTCTCCACATGGTGGCGCTCACTGTCGTGCCTCTCCACTAGGTGGCGCTCATCGGGGATTGTGGAGATTGGGGGCGGTGGTGGTGGTGGTAGGGGTTCCTCCTCCAAATCCATCTGATTCTGTGATACAAGTTAGTATATCAATGTAATATAATGAGATGTAATATGTGATGTGATCTGATCTCTGCAACGATTAAAACGACATTTAGGATTCGCGTGACGCCTCTCCTGCTCTCGCTCCGATAGATGAGAAAGGAGAGAGGGAGGGGAGCGTGAGGAAGAGGGGGAGAAAGAGGTAGAGAGAAAGACAGCAAAAGAGAGAGAGAGAGATAGACAACGAGGGAGACAAAGAGAAAGAGAGCGACAGAGCGAGACACAGACACAGAGAGAGAAAGAGAGAAGAGAGAAAGTGACAGCGAGAGAGAGAGAGAGAGAGAGAGAGAGACCACAGACAGAAAGAGAGAGATAGAAAGCAAGAGTAGAGAGTGTGCCGGTGAGAGGAACAAGGCAGTACTCCGCCGCCAAAGAGACCCGGTAAACGAAACGAGGCAGGCATCGCGACATTTCCCCACAGTCGCATCGTCAGCACTCTGGCACTCTACTTGTTGAAGTCTCTCCTACCTTGTACATGTTGAAGTGCTGCCTGATCGGGTCCCTGTGCGAGTCCGCCGACCCTGAAAGCACGGAGAGAGAAAGTCACAATCACTCGCCTGATAGATCTACTAACTACTAACACATAACAACACTAAACGCACAGCATACTCACACACAGGTGTACATGTATGGTTAGATGTACATGTACACGTACAGATTTATATACATGTACATGTAGAGTTAGATATACATGAACATGTACATGTAGAGTTAGATATACATGTACATGTACATGTAGAGTTAGATATACATACATGTACATGTACAGTTAGATATACATGTACATGTACAGTAGAGTTAGATCTACATACATGTACATGTAGAGTTAGATATACATGTACATGTACATGTAGAGTTAGATATACATGTACATGTACATGTACATGTAGAGTTAGATATACATGAACATGTACATGTAGAGTTAGATATACATACATGTACATGTAGAGTTAGATATACATGTACATGTACATGTAGAGTTAGATATACATGTACATGTACATGTAGAGTTAGATATACATACATGTACATGTACAGTTAGATATACATGTACATGTACATGTAGAGTTAGATATACATGAATACATGTACATGTACATGTAGAGTTAGATATACATGTACATGTAGAGTTAGATATACATGTACATGTACATGTAGAGTTAGATATACACGTACATGTACATGTAGAGTTAGATATACATACATGTACATGTACA